GCATAATTTCCATGATTTACTTTCTTTACATAATTCTTTTCAAATAGGTTATTTGAACAAAGCATTGGACCTCCCATGAGAGGTTATGCTGCAAAGATGGCCATTTTACTTAGTGGCCACTTCAACACTTGTAAAATGGTTTTTACTTCAAACAATATTGCTGCCACTGCAGGTTGTATGTATACAGATGAAAGTGTGTAGTTCTTGGCTCATGCACAGATGTCTTTCAATAAAGCTGGCCTGTAATTTCTTCAAATTGCTTGGTTTATCAGCAGCACATGTCATCAATCCTGGAGTGCTTGCTCAAGTCAAGCTCAGAATTCTTAGCTTACACATGCAGCTGCAAACAGGTGAACAGGCAGAAAGTAATTTGTGCAGCTTGGTGGCTGTCAGACAAAAGACAGACAATCTGTGTTTTAAACAGATTGCAGGCCTTGCATGAGCCAGACAAAAGGGATTTCTACAACTGCAAATAATTCCAAGGTTGACATATTTTCCTTTCTGCCATTGGGTGATTTGTTAAAATTGGAAACAATGAATGTAATAAATCTACAGAGAAACTGGAGATAAGATGAAAGAAAAAAGAAATCACTAAATAAGTTCTCACCCTTCTGTTGAAAAGGGTATAACCGGCATACATATAGATCTCTCTCTCTTTCTAAGTTATGATCATAGTCTCATAAAGCTACTTAAATGCATATGCTACACTATGGCAAAAAAGTTTAATTGCTAGATTTAAATGTATTAAATGAGTTAGTATGTGGGCTTAGATCTTTGTCTCAGAAGATTACCTGTTGATTCTAGAAGACTAGAAACAACAGGTAATTCAGTCAGTATTGAGAATTAAAAAGCCATTATGATGGAAACAGGGAGGGGAAATAATTCCATCAACTAAAGTGTGCAGGGCAGGGTGGAAGCAACAGAAAAATGCTTAACTTTTGCATTTTATTATTGAAGTAGCATTTCTTCTAGAAACTAGTTGTACTAGATGAACCTACATGTATGATAGGGTGTGCTGTGTGTGTGCCCTAATAATTGCATGGCATATATTCACAGAGGATGAGATCATTATCCAATAAAGAAAGGTTTCAGTCTTGGTGAATCAATTGGATACCATATTTAGGGGGTAAATGCACACATACAGATTGCTGTCAGCAGTCCAAATTGCTGATCAGAGAGTCTTTATACACATTGGTAATGTGCTGTGCGATATAAGCTGAAATATATTCCACGAGGGAGGAAAATGGAATAGTTTACATGCACTGTTCCTAAGTGCAATAAGTCTAAAGCTCCATTACTCACTTTAAGCAGGTGCTTTTTATATGAGAAATATAAAACTGTTGATGAAATTATTGGTTTGCACAGGTATAGTTTAACTTCTAGTGGTCTGACCAGATAAAAACTAAAACCATTCCCACAAACATTTATTTAATACTTTTGAAGATTTAATATTATTTTGGTAGAAGGAATTGTCATTTTTGCCAGGGTTAAAGTCCTTAATCACTACTGTTGCATGATTCTAGGTTCCTGCTCAGCAGGTGTATGAAGCTTGAGTAAATAGAAACACTTCAAGTTGAATTTCCATTCACTTCCAACTGTGATTCATAGAGTTCCTTAAGGGTCCATGCATGTGACAGATGAATGAGGAAGATTTGAATCAATGTACTTTTGTATAAATGTCTGCATGTATAGGTAGAGGGGAGTGTAAGTGGCAGATACTGGAAGGGGAAGGGGATACAAGCTGGAAATAGTGCAAAGTGAAATTTGAAAGGTAAAAAGATGAAAATGAAAACATACATAAATTTTGTAAGTCAAGATTAAAAGAATTTGCTCAGCCTAGAAGAAATGTGAAATTGCTGATCTTCCAACAAAGGTAAGATCAGCCCCTACATTGGAGGAGTGGAAAATGGCAAGTAGAACAGAACTTTTTAAAGAAACAGTTTCTGCCCCTGGTATTGCAATGGGAACAAAGTTTGAGCTTGTACACATTTCCCCATTTCTCTACTCTGACACAGTTATAAGGAGGAAATTTGAGCTTTGAATGTTGCAAAAAAATATCTGGTACTTTTGATATCAACAAATAGTTAATCTTAAGGTTTGTTTGAAACAATCCAATACAAAATCATGGGCTATCAAACAGGCTGGTTTCCGTCATCGTTCAGATTAGCTACAGTTTAGAGTTCAGGTTTTTAAACCACAGTTTGGGGTACGCATGTTACACAGTTAATCAGAAAGAGAAAAATGTTCCAATATCCTTTTTGCTATGCTTGATGGAGATAAAGGAGTGGGAACTACTTGAATTCATTGCTGCTTATTCCATATCTGAATTGGCCCACTGCCAGAAACCAAGTCCTTGTGAATTTATTTACTGTCGAATATCCAGAAGAGTTTTGCCAGTGTTCAGTCAACTCCATTGTAGCTACTGCAAGAAGAAATAAAATTAGGTTCTCATGGAGAAACTGTTCTTGATTGTCTTCCCATACTAAAAGATGCACTAACTTTGGGTTAAAGACTTACAAGTACTTTCCAACTTATGATAGAAAAGAAGTAAGTAAAGAAAGACCTCCCAAGAAATGTATTGCTTACAGAATTATTTCAAAAGATGTATATATAAAATCCAAGTGTCTGGACATCAAAACTTCTGGGGGTGCAGGGGAGGATGGGTGAACAAAATTTCTTAAAATTTATTGTATTGGTGACTCCTTTATATTTCAGTATTTTTCTCTCTTTCACCCAGATCTTGCTAATTTTTTCCATTTGGCTTTCAGTTTTCTGAGAAGTCTATAACAGATTTTGATGCACCTTTTAATACTGTTAGATGCATTTAGCACTGTTTCTGCCTGCAAATTCAGAAATCTCTTCTTTACTATAATCATTTTTATGTACAAAATCTGTACACCTGCACCAAGTTGTAAGGAACTGTTTTTTGCCTGTGGGGTGAATTGTCACCAACCTAGTAAGTGGAAGATGTGTGCCAGCAGTCTACATGGACACCAGCCAAACTGTCCAGTGTAGCTGAAACCATTGGTGAATGGACGTACATCCCTCTCATTTTCATACCCATGGAGATGTTCCCACACACTCTAATTAGATCCTTCCAGCAAATCCATGCAGAAGGCAGGACACATTTTCCTTACTCAAAGCTATAAGAGGCTCCCTTCCCTTCCCTTTCTTCTGAGAAAAGAAAAGCGTTTATCTGATCTGCTGAATATCAGAAATAAGACCTTCTCTCTCTGTGACTGGGCAAGTAAAGAGGCAGGGCACTGGGAGTTTGGAAATAGGACAAATTTTCAGAAACTCCCATAAATTTTTCTTGGACAAAGGAAACAGGTGCCAATCACCAAGTGTATGTGTATGTGGGCACATCTCCCCAGCAAGCAGGGATAGATGAGGCTCTTAAGAGATAGAAACTGGGCAAGGTCACCCAGATACTCATAACTCAATGGGATCTGAACATCTGACTCCTCATATTGGTTCTTTGTAAGTAAGCGTTTTTAAATTCTATGTATACAGGGTTTCAGAAGAATCCATTGGATTATATTCTTTCTGTCTTCTGAAACTATTGAACCAATAAGAAAAATTGATCACAGTTTCTCTTCTCAATAGCATAAAAATGTGTTTGGTTAATAAAAATAGTATTTGTACAGTAGTGCAGCCTTATTACTGCTCCCCTAGGCATTGTAACTGTGTTTAATTATATTGTCTCATGCTATTTTTCCACAGCAGGAATGGTTCACTTGAAAAAGAGCTGTTCTCATCTTTCAGTATGTAGCCTCATAGTTTTTAAAGAACAGCTGGTCACAAGAGTTTGTAGTGGAAAGAGGTTCATTTAGCTATTTGTTGTATAGTGATGTGAAACTCCTATAACACAAAGCAAGCTACTTGAAAAGCACTGCTTGGAGGCCATGTCAAATCAAAATAATGATTTTATATCAAGGCTGTTCACCAGGTAGCATGTTATTATTTATTAATGTAACTGGTACTGAATGCTAAACTATTGTGTGTGAAAGGAGGCTTCTCGTAGTGCAATGTGTATGATACTCTGTGCGACACTCTTTACTAGTCCATGTCTTGTGCTTCCAGATGCAAATAAAGAGAGGGTTCAATTTAAACTTGACCAATTTGTGTTTGGAATTCCTTGTAAAATGAGGGGGAGGGAAATTAAATTTCTTTTGTTCTTTTCAGTAACTTTTTTTTCTTACAGTTGTGTTAACTAACTTTTCCAAATACTGGAGGTTTATGAATGTTATGAAATAAGAATGGCTGCAGCCAAATGTAATGTGGGTGGCTCTTCCATTTGCATTCCTGTGCAACGGTGCCAAAGTTCTGCACTCCTGACCTATTGCATCCCCCACTGTTGCAGTACTAGGTATTTCTTCAGAAGCAGCTGCCAGTAAGTGCAAGTGCTTAGTTGTGCCAAACTGTGCAGTAGTAGCGTCCTTGAGAGACTACTGCAAATGGAGACTGAGAAGAGACCACCAAACATATTTCCACTTTTGATGTAAAGCAATGTTTGAACTTTGGTTTCCATAAAAAGATGGCAAGTTCGGTTACCTGCTGTGCAACTCAGCTGCATATGTTTAATTTTTTATTTTGCTACTGAATTAAAAGTTCTTTCCATGCAAGCTAAGATGGTTTTTACCTGTTTTAACATGCCAAAATCACACGATTAAATGTTGCTAGAGAAAACTGGCTTTGTCTGTATTGTAAAACGAAAACAATGTTTATTGTCTATGTAAAGGCTATTAGCTAATTAATTTAAAACAAATTTTTGTAGTTTTTATGTATATACATGTGTTCATATCTGATATAGGTATCATATGCATGTCTATGTAAATAAAGGTATCCTGTACCGAGACTCACCTTAGAGTCCAAACAAAAGCTCTGTAGGACTGTCTAAAGGAGATAATGAAAGTATAATTGAATGTAAGTTCCTTGGTGATAGAATATAAAATATTTAAATTCAACAGGCTAGTACATTTGCAGTTTTCTTTTATTAGGTGTGAAATCTAAGAATCCCCTGCCAACTCTTGAGGGCTCAATCCAGAATGTTGAATTGAAGTACTGCAGCACATCATTGGTCAAATGTGCCTCTGGGACCATGGGATCAATAAAAATTTGTGCCAAAGCCCCAGGTATGTGCAGCTGGACCATGTAAAAGTTTATGGCCTGTGTAGGAGAATTGGCCTTGCTTTTTACAAGGAGAGTTACTGAAACAAGAATTTATTCATTGTTTCTATGAATCAGAGATATTTTTGTTTTGTTTTTAGAAGCATGGTAGAATGATGTAGCATTGCGTCATCAAAAGGCAAATAAACAGTACCAAACTGTATTAAGGTGTTTTGGTTGTTAAAGATCTTGAGAGTGCCATATCTACAAAGGTCAAAATCAAGAAAAAGATCAATACCAATAAATATTTCTGTGAAATCAGGGAGACTATTTTTTAAAAACTGAAGCCATTTCCTGAACTTTATTTATTTATTTATTTACTTAAAACTTTTGTATGCTGCCCAGTTGTGCCACAGCACCTCAGGGTAGCTTACCTATCTCAGGTGTATCAGTGTTTTAACCACACTGTTGTGTTTTAAATCTTTACCGTGTTCTAAATATATCTAAAGGTTAGATCTTTTACCAATGTTGAAATAATATACTGAATGCGATTTTTATGTTGGATTTATGATTATCACAGTTCAGATACTGGGTTATATCCAATGGTGTTTGCCAGTGGAATGGAATTCTTTAGTGAGGCTTTCCCCAGCTTGGTCCCTTCCAGACTGAACTACAAGCCTCAGCTTTCCTGATTATTGGTCATATTGGATGGGACTGATGAAGCTTCCTTCCATCTGGGAGGAACCATGGGGAAGGACATGCTACTAGGCTAGATTACTTTTCGCGCTACATCTTTGCAATGTCTGTCCATCTGTTCTGTAGGGTAGGAGGTTTCTCTGGAGTTTATTTAAGAGACTTGAAGGGCCATAGAGGGAGGAAGGAGAAAATCTGTTGCAGGCATGGAAGTCAGCCCACATAAAGTTGAATGTAGCCCAAAGGGCTTCAAATTAAATATATGGGAAGAGTAGTCTTTACAGTTATATCATTAAAGAGTTCCAGTCAGAATATGAGTGCAGCCCCAGAATTAATCTCATCCTTAATTTTGTATGGGGGTCCTGTTACCCAATATTGGATTTTTTAAAAATCACATTGCTAATTAAAACTTTTTGGAAAAAGAGATATAAACAATACGGTTACTTGTCACCTTCTGTGAGGTACTCCTTTGCAAGAGGGAGCAGCCTTGCACAGAAAAAGTCTTGCTCCTGATTTCCTAATGTTCCTGTAAATGATGTCAGTAATATAATTGTAACCAGAAAAAGCACACCTCACAGTGGACAGATAACCAAAGGACCTCCCATTTTCACCTCCCATTCTTCCTTTGTGTTATTTGCTTACCTTCTTGGGAACAGGGACCAGAATAGAGAAGCTTGTGAATCTGGCAAATACCTTGACACTTCCTCCCTATCATCTTCTGGGGAGGCAATATCAAACTCATTTGGGGACAGCTGGAAAACATAGGGGCTGTGGGGAAAGGTGAGTGAGAATTCCCTCCTTTCCAAGGTCATAGTTCTATCTGTGTCCTTGAGCGGGAGGGGAATACAACATTTTGTATGCCTATCAGCTGGGAGGCCCTCTGAAGGTCCATGAGATTATGCTTTTAGTCATGGGAAACTGTATTGCCACGATTATCCTCATTGCCAGGTATGACATATTCCTGGTTTGCCAATTAACAACCAGTTACAATATTGAAAATGTCAAAATACAAATCCAATCTAACTTAGAGAAAATGGCATTTGTTATTACAAAATATTTTAATGCCATGGCCTGGAGATTTTAATACTAAACTTTCATTAAATGTAGTAGGAGATAGAAATCAGCCTTTGTTTCTGGGATGTGTGTGTATATTAGACTCTGTCTAGGGGCCAGAGGATTGCTCCCTAAGACATTATTTGTATCTTGTTAAATATTTGTGATACATGTAATGTTCCCATAGAACATGCATTTCATGGAGATCATTATTGGTGCATTGATTTTGATTGCCTCAAATGTTTGCAAGGTCTGTTAGTGTATGTATTTAATAAAAACAAAGTCTGAGGTGAAATACTGCTGCCATCTTTTAAAATTTATTTAATGATCAAATACTCTACAAATGTTATTTTTCAGAAATGTGTCAGAATTAAGTAAGCTGCAATTATTATGCATTCCTAAAAATGTTAATCTGCTGTTTTAGTATAATAAATGGCATGGTGGTTATATAATGAATCAGTCAATTCTGTGAATTCTAACAGACATCCATTTATTGAATAAAATATTGTTTTAATAATGTGCTTAGGTGATGGAGGGAAGGAGAAGCTGATCCCTTTAATTCAAGGCCCATCTGATACCAGAGACTTGCACAGCAGCAAGTGGCTCAATGAAAGTAGAAAGCCTGAGTCTTTGCTTGCTCCAGATTTGTTAGCCTTCACAATTCAGATTCCGCAGCCTAAGGATTACAGCTATAGTTCTGGTGAGTGCAAAATTCTTGGAAGAATTGCATTCTTTCATCTTTCTCTTTCTGTTTTGGTGTGTGGGTTCGGGTTAGGGTTGGTAAAGAGTTCTGGAAGCACGCTAAGTTAGCTGATGGGAAATATATTTGTTTGTTGCATGTAGAATGTAGTGAATTCCATTGCAATATAATTTAGAAAGTTGAAACCTACTGTTGGAATCTCCTTGTATTCTGCTACGATACAGTACTTGTGAGTGGGCCACTGTGTGAACCAAATATGGAAGAGATGCACCCTTGGTTTGGTCAGCATGGCTTCGTCTTATTCTCTTATGAAGTAATGTTAATTGTGTGTATATGTTGCCCTTTTGACACTTCACTTTTTTAATACCTATGTTGGATTGTTTTTCTTCAAGATAATGCTTTTTATAGAGCACTAATATGTTAATTTTTGTTATGAGATACATCAGTTGAAGTCTTTAACTTATCTTCAAATTGTTTTCATTAAAATATGCCCCATTTAAAGGGATGGTGTGTTCTTACTCAGCTTTAAAATGCTGGGTTAACTCTAACTAGACATTTAGTTTAGAGTGCTGCTATAGCTGTACACACTCTGCTCAGCAAGTTAAAGCTGTTCCTTATCCTTTTCCACCATCACATTATGAGGAGTGAATACTGTGGAGAATGCCTAGTTGGGTTAACCTCTTAGATGGGTCATGGAGGATAGACCCAAGAGTTTTAATTGGATGGGGAAAAAAATCAGGTTTATTTTTCATGTTCCATTTGTAATTCACGATCATCTTTAAACACTGAGAGCTTTTTCCACTTTTGAAGGATGCCCTCCTTCAGGTTAGACTGAGAAGCATGAGAGGAAAAAGTGCATTTAAGCATCTAAAGTGGCTCCAAGATTGTGATATATATTTATATTTATTTTGGACATAATGTCACAATTCATATCTATAAATTAGTGTGATCTATCCAGCCATTTTCAAGGAAAGGGGGTAGTTAGGAATATAATTGAGAAGGCTCAGAGATAATTGTCCTTTCAGAAAGACTGAGACAGAAAAGTAATAAGTTAGTTAGTAGACCAGACTGAAAGAAATCCAATGAAAGAATGAGATTCTAACACAGGATGAGTTAGAATGACATGCTAAGCTACACATTGTGGGTGGTTTGCGCAACAACCCATGGTATGCCCAGTGGAAAATGGGGCTCAGTATGGCTTGTTCACCCACTCCTTCCTCTTTCAACCATTATCCCCAGTATTCCACAGTATGCCACATCTTGTCTCAACCCACCCAATTGCTACTCCTTTTTGTTTCCTGCTGTTTCTTTCTTTAATTTTTGGAACTCCGGAAATTAGCAATGGGGCAAATGAGGAACAACATCCTCCTCTGGCTTTTAAGTGTTGAACTGCACTTCTCAGTGTCCTCCCCCTTTTCAGCACTTCAGGAACTCCTGAAAAGGGAGAGATTGACTTCTGCACTTTTCATGGCTCCTTTTTGGAGTACTTACCTCTGTGGTTACTATGGGTTCCTGTCTGGGGGGGGGGGGGGGGGCTTCCGCACCTACATTATTTATTTTATTTATTAAAAGCTTTTCTATCCTGTACCCTACAGAATGTCTAGGGGGTGGCTTACCATAAATAAGTAGAGTAAAACAAACCCCACAGCATCCGACCATTAATATACTCCCCCTGCTCCTCATCTTCCTTCTCTGAATCCAGATGAGTTGGCCTTGAGAATGCACACCAACAGCACTAGTCTTACTCACTCCCAACAATATGCAGTCTCGCTTTGCCACTTTTCATATGTGGTATATATGTCACAGCTCCATTTGGCAACTGAAAAATCCAAGAAAATTGTCTAGGCTTGACTATGCATATCAAGGTATTGATAAGACTGACAAAAGGAAGAAAGAGGGGGTTACAATGCATTCGCATGAGTTTTTTAAGGTGGTGTACCAATGATATTCACTCCTAAGTGCCACTTCGTCATCAGTGGAGGCCTTTCCATTGGTGGTGGCAAGGGCAAAATCATAAACTGTGGCACTAGATTTATATATATGTAAGGTGGCTTACAAAACTCATACAAATACATTTTAAAATATAAAACAATTAAAAAAATGTAAAAGCCTTAAAATTTGTAAACCAGGTATATACAACATTGAATAAGTGGAAGGAGTACAGTGTCAGTTAAATATTAAAAAGGTATGTTTTTGCATGGCATCAAAATGAAAATAGTGACATTGCCAGGCAAATTTCCCTTGGGAATTTATTCCAGAGGTGGGGAGCAGCCACTGAGAAGGCCTTTTTCCTATTTAGCACCCCTCTCACCTCCCTCCCTCCCTCCCTACTCTTGCCAAGCAGCTTACTAACAGATGCCCACAACCCACAATGAAATTGCTTTTCTGGGTTCAAATGACATGACAACATATCGGCAATTGGACTCCATGAACAACCTATACATTGCCTTTCTGGCTTGGTCCTGAGAAAACAGGTTCGGTTTGGGCAACATGGCAACCCAGTGTCACTAGTTACCTGTGATGGGTTGTTGTTCTGTGCAAACCAGGTCACAGAGTTTTCTTCATTTTACTTATTTTTGAATATTTCTACTCTGACCCTTGGCTCTGAAAAGGTAGTTATTGTTCCCTGATTAAGGATTCTTTCTAATGGGAAACTCCAGTTGCTTGTTGTATGGTGCTTGTTGCTTGTAAAAACACATTTTTCATTAAAATTGGCATAGATGTCAGTTTGATTTTATTTACAGACTTTAGGATAGGCTAGATAAATAATACTTTAGGTTCAGGTCATGGAAGAGATAGTGTTATAAATTTGTTTAATATTTTTGCAGTCCAGCAGACCTATTTTTCAAGGTGCTAACTTTTCTTTTTTAAATATTTATGAAACATTTAATGTCCTCTGGGTCTTCATGACAGCTCTTTTAAAAAGTTTTAGTGTGGTAGGTAGAGCATTCCATGTATGATCTTTTTTTTTCTCCCAAAAAGCAGAAAGACCAAATACCATACTGCAGCCTGCAGAAACATAAATTTTAACAGCAACAACAATGTTATTTGATACTTCCATACTTTGTAAAGGTTAATTTTGTTCAGTGGGGTTAATTGGAAAGGAAGGGATGGGCATAAAATCCAGGTTTGCTGCCTCAGTTTTTTAATGCATTCATGAGAGGGTAAAATGAAGCTGCCGGTTTTTGTTATTTGCAATTCAGGTTCAAGATGCCATCAACTCTAACTCTAGACTGCAAACAACATGCTTTTAGTTGTGTATTTTACTTTTATATATATATTACACGAAAATACATGATCACAATATTTAATGTGTTGACTTCTTAAAATACAACAAATGGGCAAGGACATTCTAATTATTAAAGACAATTCACATTTATGGTTTGGGCATAAAAGCATAAAATTTTTACCCATCTATCTTGTTACATTTCCTTTTTTCTCCCTGAGGACTTAACTATGTACTTTATCTATAATTGTTGCCAGTTTTCTGTCATGTTCCCACTGGATTTCTGGTGCAAAAAAAATCTTATCCTCTTGATGACAGAGCTTGCTTGAATGATTTCATGCTCTTTGCATTTTTGTTCACGGGAATTAGGCACAAAATGTAACTGCAGCTGAACATAGCATCTATTTTTGTAATTTTAAAGTTTAAACTCCATTATTGGAGCTAAATGAAGAGATACAGGTGTTCTCCAGCTCATGTCTGTTGGGATTTCTTGATAGCTAAGGCTTGAAAAGAAAATGCATGTGTTTCCAGAGTCAAACAGCAGCTGTGAGACAAGGATTTATGCTTTTCTCAGAACTTTGGGATTTCAAAATGTTACATTTAATCACAGGCACAGAAAGAGAGCAAATGTTAAAGATGTTACTTATAAAGAAGGAGATTGATCTCTTTACCATACCAGCCAGTTGTGGGAATAAAGCAACAACGTAGTCTTTAATCTAAATAAGAATAATTTCAAAAGGATTACAATACTGTTCATTACTCACATGTAAAGGTACCATCTCTATGGTACAGAATAATTTTATTTGTATCACCTGATCTTTCAATTATTTTAACTTAGAATACTTCTCAAGAAAAAATCACTTTGATGTGGTATTTAGGCTATATTTACATTTTTCATTTGGTAATATATTTATTTGGGGGAGGCATTGGCAAACCAAAGTTTAGTTCCTCTGACTTCAATTAGAGAATGTTGAACAGATGGTTCACTCTCCCTCTGAAATCAACTGTGCTTAAAAGTTCCCTTTCGTAATTTTGAAGAGATAGTTGAAGTGGTTATACAAAGATTCCTAGTTTGAAATAATATCAAATGCTGGCTATTTGATAGTCCAGTCTCTGTTAGGAATCAAATTATGTATAATTATTTGTAAGAGTTCTGAACTGATTTTCCATCTCTCAAGAAGGTATATAAATTATGCAACATTAAAATACACCTTAAAAACATTGCCTTCAGCCAATTATCAACAATAAGAGAATTCCCACAACATGACAAACTTTCATAGCAATAATGGAAAGTGGATAATGCATGTATTGTAAGCCACCTAGGAAGGCCTTGGCAGTTATAGGCGGCCTATAAATGTGTCTAAATAAATAAATAAAATACAAATGTTGATGGACTCATCCATCATCTCCAGAGGCCTGGTGGAACATGTGGGGCTTAACCTACCACCTAAAACTCAATAATGATGTCTATTTGAAAGGTCATTCTACAGTATTTCAGTTCTACACTAACAAAGCACATTTTCAAACTCAGCAGAAATGTCTGTCTGGAGCAGTGAGAGAAGAGCACCATACCATGATCTCACTTGTCCCAGGAGAATTAATTCCTAAGGTATTTGATGCCCAGGCTATTTTGAGCTTCATATGACCATGCTTAATTTATAAGGGAAAACTACACTCAGTCTGCAGTCCTTAGACTATTATACACTTAAAAGTACATGTTTTGCCATGGTATGTTCCTGAATTAGGGTCTCTGTTTCACTGTTGCTATTAGATA